TAGAAATAAAGTCAAGCAAAATAAAAATTATAACGCTGGATGTTTGTTCCAGCTTAAGCCACTACTAGTCTGAGTATAGACAAGAGTTTGCAGTTCTGCTGAATGCAAAAGCTAGGCAAACCTCAGACTGCCTCTTACATAATTGGGTTCTGTTAGTGCTAAGTAAAGGACAGCAAAAAAGCTTGTCTACCTGCAAGCAAGTTTACCTCTGAACACAGATGGGGCATCCGTTGATAATGCTATCTCACAGACCTCTCTCAATGCAGACCTCCATTTTAAGGAGAAGTAGTTCACGGAGAACCTGAACTAACCATTTTGATTAATCTTTTGCCTGATCCAAAAAAATACATACGCCATTTGTACATGCTGCATGTAAGTCCATCCATTATTACCAAAAGCAAGTGCTACCCAGTATTTTTAAATAGTCATATTATATTATGCTTCTTCAGTAGTCTGGGTAATTGAATTAAAAAAAAAAAAAAAAAAGACCTCAGTTTAATTATCATATACAGTTTTACATTTAGCTTTGATTCAAGACAACATGCTTTCTCTTCAGAACACGAGTCACTTACCTTCTCATTTCCTACTCTTCCCACAACATTACACAAACACTATGGATTCACCTCCACTACTTCTCATAATTGACTTAAGGGGTCAACACTGAGCAGTCACAGGACTGATCTCACAGCCTTTCATGGCAATTAAGGTCATAACAGACAAAAAGCTATTCAGAAGGAAAGAGCACTGCATTTTTTTTTCTTCTTGTGTCATCATCTTAATACTGTTCAAACAAAAGCCTGCAAGTTACAATGCAATGTAACCCTCCTAGCCAATTCTAGAAGAGTCCTGCAGTTCTTCGAAGCACATTGTTGCCAGCAACAATGGAAGTTGCTCTGTAAAGCTATGACTCAACAGACAAGGGTCTTCCTACAAGCTACAGGGAAAAAAAAAAGCTTTGGATTCAAAACTGTGAAACAAGATCTTATGTTGTAGAACTTCCGCTCCTTAAATCAACATTTTCATTTGCAACTACTGCATATTTAACGTGCATCACAGATGATATACAGTTCTATAACATACTAGCATATGCTGTAGCAGTTGGATTTAAAGCAAGGCTGGAAACAGCAGAAAAAAAGGGCTACTTCTGCTGAGGTTATTTTCTAAAATAATGTCCAATACTAGTTTTGGCCCACAAAGTAAGGCTATTTAACCATATGCAAGGAGATGTAAAATTTTGAAAGAGTTACCCAAGAAGTATAAAAAGGTCTAGATAGCATAAAAGGGGGTTGAAGAGAAAAGAATAATATGTAGTAGCAAAGAAATGATGGCGCCATTGTCTACGGCAGCAAAACCACTGTTTCCCGAGGCAACTGAACAGATTGGGCCATTGCATCTGGAAATGCCGACTCAGTATGGCAAAAAGCCAGCTACTGACTGTGCACCCTGACTTAACAGTAGCCAGTTTCTTCAGCAAACTGGAAGAGAATACCAGTTTTGTGTCTGTTAAAGCAAACTTCTAACAACCTCATTCAGCAAGACATCCCAAGGCAACCCTGGTTAGAAACATATCGAACACTCTATCATATAACTGAAACAGTAAGGTATTAATAATCTTGTGGTTAAGATTCAACTGAAAGCTACAAATACAATTCAGAATCTAGAGTTATAATAAAATCTGAGATTTTTCTGTTTTCAAAGTGGCTAAACACATCCACGCAATATTACAAACTGACTTTCTGAAGGCTTTTGGAAACAATGGAACTAATCTAATCATACTGTGCATCTTGTATGCAAAATTTGTTTCCTTCACAATAGTAACAAATTCATATAACTGAAAGCACAACTGAAAGCACAACAAAGCTTTCATACAACACTGGAGGAAACAGCAGTAGCAGGCAGGGTGTGGATGAAAGTTAACTGTCAAAATCTGATGACGACCACCATAGAATTTCATTTCATCCTATATTATTTTTACATACCTCAAAGGGGGGGGGGGGGGAACCTTATTCCAAAAAAAAAAAAAACCCCACACAGGACAGAGGGAGAGGAGTGCTTTTATTTCTTTCTACAGAAATCAAAAAGAAGAAAAAATCACCCCTGGAATAATTTATTGTGACACATAACAACATCTTTACCCCATCACCTATAAATACACATCTGTCCATCATGTCCAGCTTCCTAGATTTAAGACTGGCAGACTAAGAAGACAGCGAGATGAGGAACATCTGTGGAACAAATCTCCCTGTCAGAGTAAAGTAGTCAGACTAGATCCCCAAGGTACAAAAACAAAGACAAGAGTCTAGATGAGGTATCATGGCAATAAAGTCTCACTGAACAGAACACAGTAAAAGTTAATGAAGGAAAAACACATAATCCTGTGAGAACAAAAAGTAAAGCAAGTCCAAGGCCACAGTGTCCTAATAAGGACTCCTAGGAAAACGCAGTTCAAGCATGAGCATACAGAGACGGGAAAACAAACGTTTCAGTGAAAATGGCTATTGTGAGAATGAGAAAAAACGAACAGGACAGTGACAAGATGATGAAGCGTTACCAGGAAAAAAAGAGGAAAAAACAGACAGTTATTAGAAGTCAGTTTCTGCAAGCCGGAAGAGATTTTAAAAAGACATGAAGTCACAGAGGGCAGGAGCGCTCACAGGAGAAAGAGCTTCACCTAGAAGAAGCACTAGCGGAAGAATTCCCAGGCAGTGAGATACATGTGGAAACAGGAAATAATCTCAAAGCACCAAGTAGAAAGTGTAGAACAGGAACGGTATATAGGGCTGTTAGGGGGATAACTAAGAAAAGGATTGTCTATAGACAGGACGATACCAGTAAAGCAAGAGAGAAATCACAGAACAAAAAGCACCACGAGAGAAGGAAGACCGCTAGGGAGAGAGAAGTCCAGGGGCAGTTTGAAAGGGACACGAGAGGTGATGGCGACGAAGACCAAGCCTGTGCACATCCCCGAACAAACGCAGGTTTCTCAGAAGCCCTAGGAGAAAAGTATCGCAGCGCTCTTGGGAAGAGGACACAGGAGTGCCTCAGAGCAGGTTTCCCTCGGGGCAGGAAGGCAGGTCTGTGCCAGCAGGGCGAGCCAGGGAGGCCTTCCCCGAGGGGGCCGAGCCGGGTGTCCCGCAC